GTGAGTGAGTGAGTGAGTGAGTGAGTGAGTGAGTGAGTGAGTGAGTGAGTGAGTGAGTGAGTGAGTGAGTGAGTGAGTGAGTGAGTGAGTGAGTGAGTGAGTGAGTGAGTGAGTGAGTGAGTGAGTGAGTGAGTGAGTGAGTGAGTGAGTGAGTGAGTGAGTGAGTGAGTGAGTGAGTGAGTGAGTGAGTGAGTGAGTGAGTGAGTGAGTGAGTGAGTGTCTGTAATGGTGTGTTAATGTCGCGCAGGTCAGTGCTCCACGTCCTCAGTAGATCTGGAGACGGACTCGGCCACAGACTCGGAGCTGCGTGAGGGGATGCTGGGACGAACCGTGGAGGCCGATATGGACGACAGAGGTCTGGAGACGCCCATCTTCTGTATGGACAGCAAGACCAACGAGAGCTCCTGCCCCTCATGGCTGCAGAAGGTGAATGCAGATTTAACACCCATCGTCCTTCTGAGGCTCTTAAAGCCTCCTTACAGCCTGAGGCTCCTTACAAATAAAAAAGATCTAAAGTCAGAGCAGAAAGTCTTCAATTTGCAGTCATGTCAAGCGCAAACTGGGTTAACATGCTTTTTTGGGCGTTAAATAATGGTGCAAACACCAGGAAACTAATTACCGCAAAAACCTTAGTAAATCATGTTGTGTGATTCATGTAAATGCTCTCCTCACAAAAATCTTGTCTGAAAGGGAAACTTATAAATATGGAGTGACGTCAGCATTTTCAGCCCTAACGTTTCCCAGTGTGTCTTCAGTAAATCCTGACGGTAGTCTTTAATGCCAAAAGAGGGTTTGCACTGGTGCCAAATGTTAGTAAATCTGGCTCATCAATGTCATGTTGTATCTCCAGAAAATGTATCCTGATTTAAGAATTTTTTGATATTTGTAGTAGAAAACAAGATGAAAATACTTAAGAACATCAGTTTTTTTACAGAGAACATATGACGTGTTGTGTTCCCCTCAATTTTTTACTTAACCCTCTGGTCCTCTTCATTTTTGGGTCATACTCTGTACTTCATGGTCAAAAGTGACCAAAGCCTTGAAATGTAACTCTTTTTTTTTTTTTTTAAGGAAAATCAGTCTAATAAATGGTTCAATAA